TGCCTTTAGGGACCGAGAACTTGGAAACTTTGAACATGGCTTGTTTTCATTCCAATAAACATAGCTAATAAATGAAAAACTACTCATAGTTGCACTTTGCTCTGATGGGTGAATATAGCAGGAGCATTAATGAACTTACATAGTTCAAAATGGATGGCCACTGTCTGTGAGCTCACTGCAACATGACCTTCAATTCTGCCTGCCCTGTATCCTATTTACACTGAACTGAGATACTCACTCTAAAAAAAACCTGTTTATCTTCCTCTGAAGAAGAGAAACAAGATGTGTTTTCTAAATTTGAGTTAAAAATTAAATTCCTGTTTTCCTTTCAGGGGGAATTGTGGGGAGAGTTGTGCTTTTTAAGTAACCGTTCCAGCTTGCTAGATTTCTAAGTGTGTTGGTTTGGGATTTTTTTTTTTTGTTACTGTCATGTCTAATACTGCCCATTTTTTTTTTCTTAATACTTTGTTACGCTAGAGGGAAAATGCATGAAGAATGAGGCTTTCAGCCTTCACTAGTCATTCTTATTATTGCCATGGTACAAACTATTTACTTGCTACGTGATGTTGCCACAAAAGGCATTCTAAAAGGGCATACGTATTGCAACGTGTTGCTCGTCCATGCTGGGGTGTCAGAGAAGTTCATGTGTACCCAGCTGTGATAGTAAAGCAAAGCCAAAAAAGGTAAATAACTTTCAGTCTTTACAGATTGTTGGAAAATATTTGAATTTGCAAATTTGCAAAATGAAGAAAAATATATTTTAAATCGTTATCTCAAATTGTCTTTTCAGCAGCTGTGTGTGACAGCCTTCCAGCTGTGCCCATTCACTAAAATAGTGATTTGACTTCTGTTAAACACAATAGGTGGGTACTTGGAGTATAGAACAAAGTATTTTAAAACTCTCTCACCATGTGATCTCCATGCCATAATAATTCTGTAAAGGAAAAAGAACTGATAAGTGAGCCATGCATGCTCCAAGGAAGGAAGGAATGCAATGAAGGGATTATAATTAGTATAATCTGTGAGAGCTGTTTTGGTGTGTTAACTGGTGAGCATTGTTTCTGTCAGTAACTTAGAAGTTTGTTAAATTTCTACAGTAGCTGCCAGAACATTTTTTAATTAGAGCTGGAATGTGCTGGTGGGTAAGTCTTGAGTCGGTTCTTGGGTGCCTGAAAAAAATGACCAAGATGGGGAGGTTGATACCAAAGCAGGTTCAGATAAATGCATTCCAGTCTCTTGGAATCCAATCCTGGCAGAAAAAAACCCCAGGTTCTCCCAATTTGTTCTCTTGAGCATATTTCAACCAAGAATAAATAAAAGACACGAGACAACCTGGTGGATCCTTCTCATGCATTGCAGAAGCGGGAAGGAGGAGGTATAAGATGCATGTTTTGGAGGCCTGTTTGTGAGGGAGTACTGGGGTCTTCTTGTGGTCCACCACTTAAAAGATCTTTAGGAGCTGCTGAGCTGATGCCTTGTGTCTCAACCTGGCTCTTTGTCCTTTCATGGAACTGCATTTGCTTACCAAGAGCTTAAAATAAGGGGGTTTTGTGACTGTCTCTGTTGAATTTCTAAATATGGGCTGCACATTCCTGCTGTTTATTAGCTACTGTGCTGTTTGCACAATTGTAATCACAAGGCAAACATCTCCACTTGCACTTAACATAGTCAGTGGAAGGGAAAAGGGGCAGGAATACCTGTGGACAGGGCTCGGCCTGATGTGTTCATTGTAAGGATCTCAGTTTGACTTTCCTACCCCAAATTGATTTTCTAAGATTGACAGCTTAGAAACAGTTTTACTTATATCTGGTACAGACTTAATGCAAAAATCCAACCCAAGCAGGGGTATACTGGCTCAACACACAGCCCAGTATACTGTTTCTAATGAGGGAAAATAGTGGTTTCTAAAAAAGGGGTGCCCTGCTCTTGTGGTTTGTCTGGTTTTTAATACAGTGACAAATCCTTGCTGGTTTTTCTCTGATTTTGGCTCGTAAGTTTTCTCTTTAGGTGCAGTGTTGCTCTTCATAACAGAATCTGCACTTTGATTTTTAAGAGTGTAGACAATGAAACAACTGTTTCCAAATACTTCCACCTTTCTACAGTTAATTTTAAAATTGCTGTTATGTCAAAATACTATTGAATGTTTGTTGTCTTTCACTTCTATCTAGAAATGTTTCATCATGCTTTATTTTGATGTGGTTTGTTTTCATCATATTTATCCCTTATCCACTAAAGGAACTAATTTGGGAGTGCTGCACTGGAGGGCAAAGTCATAAGAAGCTGCTTTGAAAACTGGTGTCTGTAACGCCCCAGTGCTGTGTGTGACATGATGATACACGCTGGGCATGGCAGAGCATGGGACAGGGTTTTCCTTTGGGCAAGTTCCCTGAATCAGCTGTGTGAGACTTCTTGAAGGACTGAGTGGGAGGTGCCAGCAGGGTCTGCCAGCTGAAGCAGCACAGCCTGCACTCAGACCTGTGGAGGCTGCTCCTCCCTCCCCTGTGTGCCTGATGGTCTTGAAGGCGGCTCTTTCTGGCCGTCCCATTCCAAATTCTATAGCATATAAAGTATTTGGGAGTCACTTCAAAGGCAAGAAAATGTTAAGCCCTCAACTGTTCTTTTTTTTTTTTTTTTACAATACTACACTGATGTGGAAGGCACTCTAAAATGGATCTGAGGAAATGGGTACTCCTCTTCAGTGAGTTTCAAGGCCCACAGGAGATGTGATGTAGAGCTCCCTAAGTTTATACAGATCAAAGCATGTCCTTTTCCACTGGAAGGGTTCAATGCCAGAACCTGCATTCCCAGTCCATGCATGAATACGACAGCTCAGATCTACTGACTCATTTTATGCTACCTGACCCTGAAAGATCTGTGTTTACTCAGCCCCAGGGAGCAATACAGGGGCAGTTTTTCAACCTTGATTAACTACCGAATGAGACAGGGAGGAAGGGGTGTGTCTATCATAAATATCCAAAGTATTGAAGAAATACTTTTGAGTCGAGGTATTGAAGGAAGTGAAGGCTCTATATAAGAAGTAGTTGACACAAAACCTGTTATTTAATGACCAGCTGAAGCAAGGTTTGCTTTACCTTTCACCAGCAGTTTGACAATAGAATTCTTTGTTGCTAATGTTAATTTTGCCAAGATCTGTCTGCAGGGTTGTGGGTGGTCTGCATGCTGGAGAAAAGGAGCTTGTCAGATCTTCAGTGAGGACTGCTTATGGAGCAATTCTGAGATCACTGTCTGAGCGAGAGCCCCCTGCAAGCTTCTACCTGTCCTCCCTAGCATGAAATAGCACCTTGAATAAATTGCCTGCAGTAACAAGCTGAACAATGTGAAGTCAAACCTCAAATACCAAACTGTGGAACACGGTATTCTTGAAGCTGGTTATATAAAGAGTGCATGTCCAGGAAATACATGCAGCAGTAATGTCTCTTGTGAACCTGGACTCTAGTTTTCTTTTTTTTTTTTTTTTTTTTTTTCCTCCAGTGTAATTCTGATGTATAAAATATGGTGAGGTGATTTTTTTTTTCCTGCTGGCTTTATCAGGGTTTTTTTTTCCCAAGATTCTGTTTCTGAATACAGCTTTTATTTACTATATATATTCAGAGATTAATATTATTTTTTCAATCAGCACAAAGTACTTTCCTAAGTGTTCTGTTACTGTACTTTAGGTGGACTGAAGAACAAACATACTGGGATTTGACTTACTGAGCCTGTTTCCTGATAGCTGCCTGCCTTTTTCCAAGAGGCAAAAGATGTACAGTAGGAGCTATATAGGTAACTTCTGCTTTTGAAATCACAGCCAGCATGTTTTCTCTTTATACAGAATCAACTTTTCTAACTTCCTGCAGTGTTTAGTCACCCATTGTATTCTTATGGCCTCTGCAGGACTCTTCCCTGGGTTCTCTCCAGCACAATGTTGGTTTCAGTTCTTCAGTGTATTGCTATTCCTAGCTAAAAGTTATAAAAATGTATAAAGAAATTATTTGTTTGTTCCTTTTCCTTTGTGCATGAAAGTTGCCCCTTGATATTGGAGTCACTTAGTCTTACTGACCTCTGGACTCCTTACATAGCAACGAGTGCTTTTGTTTATTTGCTATACTCCACCTTGTATTTCTTATCACAGCCCATAGCTCTACCCACATTCATCACCTTAAGTTTAGTGAGAGTCATGGAATGCTGACAGTACAGCAAAGGCTGTTATATCTGAACAGCAACACTCTGAAATACTACTTCATATTAAACAGATTTGTCATGGTGGCTAAAGTCTTCAAAAATACAATAAACATCTAAGATTGTCTTTGGACACAAAAGGCACTCTGTTTCGAGGCATTCAGAAGGTACAAGAGGTCACTGCAGTGTTCAAGGATCAGGCTGCTTTACTAAAAGCCCGCTTATGTAGAGATTTAGGATATTAGGTTGAGGATCTTGGTTATATACCAAGGGGTCACTGAAAGTAGAGTGGACTCAAGTGCTTTGGATCTTCTTTGGGAAAACAATTTTTTAGCAAAAAGTTACTATAAGATTTGTAAAAGTCTCCTTGTAAGCATAATATCCTATATGTTACGAGTTGTGCTGATCTGTAGAACTCCTGAGAGATGAGTTTGTTTGATGAGAAATTTTCGGTGGTAGTTATTTACTCTGAAGTTTTGAGGAATGTGGTTTTAAAATTCTGCTTCCCCCTCCCATGCAATACCTGATTTGTCATTCTCTAGCTGCTTATATTGGCCGGCTCGCTCGGTGGTGGGTTTTTGCTTTACTAAATTCTGTGAAATTCTTTCAAGATCCTTTTTAGACATCCCTTTGTTTTACTTCCCCGAGGGCAGGTAACGCATCAGAGCCAGCTCGCTGTTTAACTAATGTCTCACAGGTAAGGAGGGAGGGGAAAAAAAAAACAGGGGAGGGAGAGCGCGTCACATTGGAGGAGGGGAGCAAAGAAAAATGAGCTTTCTTAAGCAAATCATGTGCAGAGGGACAGGCTGCCAGGGCTCAGGCGATTCTCGGCGGGGGCTCTGCTCTGTTCTCTGCCGGCCACGATGGAGGAAGAAGCTGGAGTGCTGAAGGAGGGCTTCCTCGTCAAACGGGTGAGTGCTGGGCTTCCCCTCCGAGCGGCTCTGCTCCCGCATGGAAGCAGCTCCTGAGCAGGGAGCGGAGCAGCCCGGGCTCACGGCGGGGCGCTGGGTCGGAGCGGCTGCTGCCTGCTCCTGGGAAAGGAGCTCCTCCGGGTTTGTGCAGGTGCCTCCCGGGGGAGCTGCGTGAGCTGCAGCTGTCCACTGCCCACCCGCAGGCTGCCCTGTGCTGGCATTTCTGCGGGGGAATGTGAATTAGCCATCGGGATTACTCAGGTGCTGGAAAGCCAACACGGCTGCACCTCGCACGCCCCTCTGCAGGGAGCACTCCCACGGCAGCAGGGGCCACCATGGCAGGGTGGAGAGACAGGAGAAGGTTTGGGTCGGTCAGGATGGCTTGTGCCTTCTTCAGTGACATGTCTGTGCAGGGTTTCCCATTTCATATGAGAGAATGGAATAACGACGCCTGTTTTGGTCCCCTTTTTGAAGGGGATCAAAGCAATGCAAACTTAAAAATGCTTTTGAAATAACTTTTTTTCTATTCTCCTCAAGCAGTGCTGTTAGAAAATTCTAGGCAAAATGTGGTGAAAAGAGCTGAAAGATTTCAACCTTCCCAATACTTCTCCCTGTAGAATCAAGTCAATCATTGCTGGAACACAAGGAGGCAATTTAGCAAGGGGCATAAACTGCTTTTAGTACCAAGAACCTGTCTCAATGATTAATATGGTCCTTGATTTCATAGGAAAAAATGTGATCGAGAGGTTTGTTCAAAGCTTTGCCACGCCTAGGGAAATGCTTCTGTGCAGTACGTGGCAGTGTTTCTGGTGCTAACATGAAGGTAATCCTGGTCAGGAGTTTTCCTGGCAGGGCTCCTGGCCACTTGGCCAGCCAGACACTGGCCAAATGAAGTTCTGTGTGGAAAAGGGGCTGTTCTCCATCCTGCCTTCTGCAGCAAGGGCAGAGCAGTCCCAGCTGCCAGTCTCCTCTCTGGGCTACAGCTGTACTTTTTGGCTCTTCAGTGACTCCTGAATTGAAATGGGAAGCCTTGCGCCGAGTGAGAGGAGTAGGTTATTGGCAGCACGCGGAGTTGTGACTGCTGGTACAACATCACCCAAACACACAGCTTGACAGGAGGGAGACCACAAAGAGGACAACTGAGGGACAAGGGAACCAGGGATCCACAGAGAAAAAAGGAGAAAAGGATGGGATCAGGTAATGAAAACAGAGCTTTCATAAGAAGAGAACAGAAGAAAGGAGATTATCTAAATGCATTATAAATGGCAGAATTGTGTATATTTATAATGCATTATAAATATAAAATTAATGTATGGAATTAGGTAAAGATAAATTTAAAAAGGTAAGGCGACCTCCTGAGAAAAAAGAACATTTTCCAGAAGGAAAGAATAGAGCCATAGCAAAGAACATAAAGGAAAAATAGCCAAGTAACTACAACAGGTGAAAAAAGCCCTGAGGAATGCAAAGGGAAGGAGAGAACAAACCTGAGATAGAGAAATTGTATTTAGTATGGACTAGAAAACATTGGATCTACAGTGCCCTGGATTTTAGAGACTTGTTACTCCACCTTTACCTGGAGATTGCTGGGTTTCCCCTTTATTTACAGAGAGCTAATGAGCTTTGATTCATGCCACAACTGGACCTTACATGTTTCTTTCTTCTAGCCATGCCCACCCTATCCCAGGTGTCAGAGCGTCTTTTCCCCCCTGCTTTGCCTGCTGGCTGTAACGCTCCATCCCCTGTAGAAACACAAGTCAGCTTCTTGCACGGCAAAGCTGGACCAGACACCATCAGACAGGACTAAGCCTGCCAGTGCCAGCCCTCACTGGCTTTGCTGTCCTTCAACCAGACTAAAGAGAGCTGGGGGCTGTTTACAGAGGAAAAATAGGAGGATTTGTCTGTATTGTATAATCCATGAAGCATTCAACAGCAGCTTTCATTCAGTTTTTTGTCATCAAAAAGCATATTTCCTTTACAGGAAACAGTAGCACAGGGAATGTTTTGGCCCAGGAAGTTGGAGACAGGTGGGATTGAAATTAACTTCTTGTTAGCAATAAGGGTGGGATGTAAGGAAAAGCCAGTTCACCCAGCAAAACTCAGCAATAAGGGTGGGATGTAAGGAAAAGCCAGTTCACCCAGCAAAACTCTTGCAAAAACACTTGGCACCTAGAGCCACATCAAAACGAAAAAGACACCTCCCAGGGTCACTGGAGAGGAGGAGCTGGTTGCCAAGAGCCCTCACACATTTTGGATTTAGCCTGTCCTGTCAGCAGACAGGTGTGCACCTACATCAGCTCTTTGGGATAGTTTATGTGAGCTTTTACAAGAAACAATTTGTGCCAGCAAAGTTCTTGAAGAAAGAGCACAGCACTTTTCTACTCCTCTATGATTTTATAGTGATGGAGCTGTGCTATTTTGTTACTTAAAATGAGTATTTCAGGGAGAACAGGACTCACAATGATGTCTTGTGCTTCTTTTCATACAAGAAGGCAAGAAGAAAATATGGCCATTTCTCCATGCTTGTGTTACAATCAGCTATGTGGACTTCTCCCCCTCCAGGGACATGTTGTTCGTAACTGGAAAGTGAGATGGTTCGTTCTGCTTCAGGATAAGCTGCTCTATTACAAAATTGAAGGAGGCAAGAAGGAGCCTTCTCCAAAGGGCAGGATCCTTTTGGATGGCTGCACTATTACTTGTCCATGCCTGGAATACGAGAACAGACCGGTATGACTGGAAAAATGTATCTCTTCTCTATGCCACTCATTTTATAACTTCTTCCTCTCTTTTCCTCTCCTCCTGGCTTCTTTGATTACTGCAACCATACCACTGGGGTGCTTCCAGAATTAGGCCCAGCCAAAAGCAAGTTGCCACTAGCAGTGTAACCAGGACAAGCACTGAATCCCTCATTGTGTCTCTTCCCTGTGCCCAAAGTGAGTCAGCTGTTAACAAAAAAGCAACCCCACTCCTGTACACACAGTGAGGAGAAAAAAATGTAAGTGCATCGGCCCAACAGTGTGTGGAGAGAGGACATGCACGACCCAACAGAACCTTAAGACGGTGGGGAAAAAGGGAAATATCACCTGCAGTAGTTGCCTTAAAGCCTGGGTATCCATGGGGTGCTCCCAGGCAGCCAGATCAGACTCCTTTTTCCTTCACCAATGAGATATTGCAGCTGTAGAAAGTTTTCAGCAAGAGGACTCTGGAAGAAAACATTCCTCCTGCATTTTTCTGCTCTCCCATGGGTAGCAGCAATGCAGATTTCCTCTGTGTGGGTATCTGTGTGGTCTGCTCTCTTCTCCAGGGGCTCCATGCATGTAAACCATGTTTATAACTGAAAACCCAGGGACTTGAGGGGGATAGAAGAGCCAAAAAAAGCACAAAAAACACCCCCCCCCCCCCCCCAAAAAAAAAAAACCCCACAAAAAAAAAAAAAAAAAGAAAAAAAAAAAAAAACAAAAAAACCCCCCCCCCCCCCCCAAAACAAAAAAACCCCACAAGCAAACAAAAATAAACAAACAAAAAAACAAACAAAAAAAACCCCTCCAAAACCAACCCAGATTTGTGCCCACCATCCTTCTGAACAAGAATTGCTCTGAAGTGCTCAGGTGGGATGCACTGTCAGACTTACTTGTGTCACTTGGGCCAGTGCTAAAAAAAGCAAAATGCAAGAGGATCGAAGTAGCTGAATGATGTTATTGCTTTGTCCTTCTTTCTCCACAGCTACTCATCAAACTAAAGACAAAAACCAATACAGACTATTTCCTTGAATGTTGCTCCAGGGAGGAACGTGACTCTTGGGCTTTGGACATCACTGGAGCTATTCATGCTGGTCATCCAGTACAGGTACAAGAACTTCACAGAATGAAGAACTCTTTCAAACTGCTAGAAAATATCAGCCTCCAGTAAGTGTGTATGATTTCTCCTTCTGTTATTGCTGTAGTTTGCAAAGTGCCTGAGTTGACGCATGGGGAGGGCCAAGGGAAGCTCCTTTCTGCACAGATCTGCTCCTGTGTGGCCATGAACCCCTGCACTGGCTGCCCTAGGTTTGCACGTACTTTAGTCAGGGAATGCACTTTTTCCTGACCATCATCTTTTGGGAGTATGTGGGTTCTGCACAGGCACCTCACTGCTGGCTTGAATACTTTCCTAGTCAGCTGCAAATGATCTCGCTGGGGACATGTGTAACCTCAAAGGATGTAACATCAGGGAAGCACCAGGTGGTGGCCTTGTGCCCTGTTGCTGAGTTTTCAAAGCTGATATCTGGAATCCAGACTAGGATTTTTAGGGTGCATCATCTTAAATAAGAGGAAATGGAGACTGATTAAGAAACAGAAAAATTACATTCATTTGATTTGTGTTGAACAGGTAAATTGGGCTGACTATAGATCAGTTTGCAGTGCTCTGAATTGAAAGATACTTTGTGAGGCATCTTGTTTAGGGCTGCTATTGGGAGAATAAAGTTTTCCTGGAATGTACTTAGGACAGTGCTTCTAGGGGAGTGCCTAGAATACCTCCCATCTTTACGTGGGTAATCATGAGGACACCCCTGGCACTGACAGAAGGTATACAGCTATTTCTGCCTGTCTCTCATCTGCTGATGTTGTGCTGTGCTCTCATTTGCAGCAATATAGTGGAGAGGATGTATGACAGCAGCACTGGAATTAAGCTGACGCGCAATTTGGATCAAGGCAACAGATACAAAGAGACCTTCACAGGTACGTCTGGCAGGCAAAGAGCCACCTCACATCTGATATGCCACATTGCAGGGACAAGGGAGCTACTGTACTGCCTTCATAGTGGGATAAGCTCTGGCCCAGTGGAACCTGGCAGTGCAGCCAAGCTCTCCAACACCTTTCTCTCTTGCTCTTTGGATGTATGGAAGCATACTTAGGACCCCAGACTTTTGGTCAACTTTGCACCTCTCTGACAATCTTGGGGATGGTGCCAAAATGCTTCTGCAAGTGAAAATCTATGTGGCAGGAGACCATCTGCCTTCCCTCAGAAGAGCACACTGTCTTGGTATGAGAGCTGCCTCTCCTCCTGCAGGTTCTGCCCTGGTGGACTGGCTCATCTCCAACAGCTTTGCTGTGTCACGATTCGAGGCCGTCACCTTGGCGTCCATGCTGATGGACGAGAACTTCATCAGGCCCGTGGGAGTCCGCAGCACCGAGGCCACGCGCTCCAGCGACCCCTCTGAGAAGTTCCTCGATGACTCCACTGCGCTCTACATGTTTGTGAGTGATGCAGCTGCCCCACAGGCGCCTCCTCTGGCCCTTGTCACACACCTGGTTTGGGTACAGGTGCACAGTATGCAACCAAGGGCAAATGTGCAGGCTGAGAAAGTAAATGCAGAAGGAGCAGCTCTAGTCTTTTAGTAGTACTAACACTGGCACTTTTGCTGGAGCCAAATAGTTACATGGATATGGAGGGATCTACAAATTACATAATTAGGCATTAAAAGAGGTGTGTCCCTGGAGTGCAGTGCTGTGTCTGCATGCATTGGAGGCAGTGCTGTAGTTGTGCTACAGCTCAAGGCCATAGCACTTATACCCAGCATGTACAGATTTACAACTGTAATTTGTTGCCTGTGAATTTTGGTCCTACAAGGCTGAGCAGCAGAGCCATGGAGTAGAATTTACTCATTATATATAAGCTAAAAACAGCTAAGGAAAATAAAATAGAAAGTAAAAATGCAGAACTTTGTACTTTAAAGTCTGTTTATATTCAAAAGAAAAGTGGAACTGTCTTTTCCCTATTTGCAGGCTGAGAGCAGTAAGAAAAATACTAGTTCCAAGGAAGAGGTCCATTTTAACATCTCTGAATTAAGTGGCACAATTGTGAAGCAAGGATTCTTAGTGAAACAGGTAAGCATAATCCTGGAACCTGCCCCAGGAAACAAGAAAAAGTACAGCCCTTAGGGTTTCTAAGAGAGTAAATGTGACTTGTACCATGACGGCTGGACAGATGTGCCCAGCAGAACTAACTTGCCTGTCAGTACTTGAGGTCTTGCAGTTAAGAGTATCCAGTTATAAAGAAGTGAACTATGGAACTTTCTGAGGCAGGATTAATTGGATATTCTGTACATATTGAGCATATACTGAAAGGTACAAAACAACATCAGAAGCAGAAGTACCAAACAAACTCCAAATTCTACCAGACGTATTATGTTGCGACAAACACCCTACGTGTGGAGACGCGAGCTTTGACTTCGTGTTCAGAAGCCTGGTTTATTATATTATGACATATATTATATTAAAATACTACATTAAAACTATACTAAAAGAATAGAGAGAAAAAACTCATCAGAAAGCTAGCAAGAAAGAACAAGAACGAAATGCATAACAAAATCTTGTGACTGCTCACAGCCTCGACACAGGTGGCTGTGATTGGTCATCAAGTAAAAACAATCTACATGCACCAATCACAGATGCACCTGTTGCATTCCACAGCAACAGACAGTTATTGTTTACATTTCTTTCCTGAAGCTCCCCAACTTCCCAGGAGGGAAAAATCCTAGCAAAGGATTTTTCATAAAATATTATAACTACAGTGTTACATTCGCTTCCAAGCAGAGCCACCGTTCCTTTGGTTTAACCTATCCCATCCAGGTGATGTGAACAGTGAGGATGTGTTGCTGGCCACAGACAACTTTCAAAGCTGAGTAGCTTGACCTTTGTATGAAGTGGACATTTACCTGTGGGCAGTCATCATGTACACTTGGGTGCTTTGGTGGTAGTGAAACATGTTTTTTGGGCACAAGTACCTGTTGGCAATAACTGTTTCCAAGATCTGACCCTTGGTCTGCAAAATGTAGTTTCCAATGTTTGCTATGAACAAGATGAGGGTCAATAATTTTCAAAGCATAATACAGCTGCCTGCAAAAGGAATCCAACCTGCACTGCATGGCCACACTCTTACTCTGAAGCCTTGTACCGAGCCCCACCCTTAGCGTTGTGCAAACTGGATCACCAGATGCTTCCCAGCCCTCCCTCCTCCAGCTGCCAGGGCATCAGGAAGGTATGCAGGGATCCCCACAGGCTGGCAGGGCAGCCCCCATCAGCACAGGACATGAGGGCTGCCCAGGAGCTTCTGCCCATGGGTAGCAGCAGCCAGGGACAGCCAGCCCCCAGCAGCCCCAGCCCCGGGCTGGCCCTGAGCTCCAGCACCAAAGCTCCAGGAGAGGAGATGATCCCAGGGCCTGGCACAGGCCTGGCAGCAATGGGAGGGCTGCAGTGAAAGAGTAAAGAGCTGCATAAGGACCTGACATAACCCCCTTGGAGCGCACAGCATGGGATTTTAATCTGAAATGAAAAGCAGGAATGAGGGATATAACATTTGTTCCTGTCACTCTGCTTTCTTAGTTCTCAGCACAGACAAGGAAGAGATGAAGGAGTTGTCAATGTATGAAGAAGAAGGATAAGCAGAAGGTCATGGGAATTACCAAGATGTTAGGAATTATTTTTCTTTGTTGAGAACAAACCCTCTTTTGGTATTTATTTACGTCTCCCCTACAGCCTGTAGGAAAATGATCATTTCAGGAGGTAGTGATTTTAATTCTTCCATTTTGCAGGGGCACAAGAGGAAAAACTGGAAGGTGAGAAAATTTGTTTTGAGAGCTGATCCTGCTTTTTTACACTACTATGATCCCACCAAGGTATGTGAGTGGGAAGTTACCATCCCCAGAAATCCTTTTAGAAATATAAACATTATAGTGAAGATACACCTCAGTTGTAAATGTTTCTATCATTCTGGGTTCCTCTATCCATTTCCAGGAATTAGACCTCTCTGGCCTTACCCTAGGAGGTTGTCCTTGTAGGATTTTATACCCCTGCATCTTCTGTCCTTTTTCGCAGTGAGATTCCTTTCCTTAGCTGAGCAGCAGCAGTCGTCTTGGGATTGCTTTCTTGCTGCACCCTCACAGTCTGGGACCATGGTCCTGCAGGGTTTCTTCCTGGGTTATGACCTCTCTGGGCTCAAATCCCACCATTTGAGGATCATACTGGTTCTGGGATTTTTTTACATCCTTATTCCAGCATTGAATAGGGTCTTCTTAATGCCAAAGTATTTATAGGAATTTCTACTACTCAGTTTTAAACTTTCTCATCAAAAGTAGAATTTATGTTCATTAATATAATAATCAATGGGAGCAACTCAGATACTTAGGGTACCACAAAGCCAAACAGGATTGCAAGAACATGTATAGAAATGCTTTATGTGACTTTTAAAGAGAATAGAAACAACATACCAGTGAAAAGAGCTTATGGAGCCAGTTCATTTTTCGTTTCCTGTTCCTTCATGGTTTTGGGTTTGGGTTTTTTTTTTTTCCACTGCAAATAATCCTTGTAAGGCTATAAGCTGAAACTGCAGAACCTGAAGGCAAGAAATAAGAGTGCCAGCCAGCTAGGGAAAAGAACCAGATTTTTCCCATACAGTCTCAGTGAAAAACAGCAATCTAAATACTTACATAAATATATATAATTCAGTATGTTGTTACTGATAAAACTATATGTACATTTAAAGTGTGATTGCCTACCCTTATGCTTTTAACTGATCTACACCGTGCCCAGCTACATCAGAGAAACATCTGGGACTGAACAAATATAGCAATGCCTTTAACCACATGTTCTAATTGATTCTCTTGTGACATAGATGTTTCATGCCTGGAAAAACTGCCATTATGTCTTCAACTTCATAAAAGTGATGCATGTGCTCTGGGAAATGGTGACATTTTCCAGCTATGCCTTGTTTCCTTTTTCTTTGCAGGAAGATAACAAGCCAGTAGGTGGATTCTCTCTTCGTGGCTGTCTTGTCTCAGCTCTGGAGGACAATGGAGTCCCAGCAGGTGAGCACAAGCCTCTGAACTTTCATACATTTATATGTATTCTGTAACAATACAGTCTTTGGGTATGGGTTTGTATATATGGCTGCTTGTATGCGCAGGTGGGCTGACTTTCCATTTCCCTTTGCAAGCAAGGGAAGAGGCATGTCACGAGTGTCTGTACTGCTGGGTTGTCCACAGCAAAGCAGACTTTTTTTTTTTAGTGTTATTTCTGCATATCTTGGGTGTTCTCTTTATATGGGCTTTTCTTAGTCACATGATCTCTGAGACAGTCCTAAGACTGATTAATATTCCAGAGTTAACAGACAAAGAGAAACCACTTTCTGGTTTTCTTCTGGTTTTCTTCTGGTTAACTCAAAGTCTTGAGGCATCCTCTGATGCCATCCATTTCTGTGTCCTCTCAGCCTTTTCCTTTCTGACCTGCTAGAACCCAAATGTAGGGGAGACATAAAGACAGCAATAAAAAAACCAGTCCTGCTGGAGTATAGGCTTAGTTCAGGCATTTGTCTAGAGCCTCAGCCTCATAGATAAGTGTTTCTTCTATTAAAGCAATTTATTTTATGACAGTAAGCACAATGTGTAGATATCAAATACAGAACAATTTTCTAAAGAGAAGGTCTGAAAAAGCTTTGGTCTGGGGGCAGGGGCGCATGATGAATGACAGAGCTCCTTGCTAAGAGCAACCCAGCTATGGGCAGGAGAAAATCTAATCTGCCGTGCAAAATGGTAGGGGTTCATCATTCTTTCAGTGTATAACTCAAGTAATAGTCTCCATCTAAACAGAGACTATTTTAGATGTTGTAGAGTGCACAGTAGTTCATACAATCTGTGGCAAGAGTGTCTATACTGTATTTTCACAGAATCACTTAATCAACAAATGTTTGGGTTAGAAGGGACCCCAAAGATCATTTAGTTTCAATCCCCCTGCCACAGACAGGGTCAACTTCCACTTAACCTGTTTGCTCAAAGCCCTATCCAACCTGGCCTTGAACACTTCTAGAGGTTTTGAAGAGGGAAATAGAAGACAAAAAAGCTTTAGATGTCTTATCTGTAATAAAAAGGAAAGATTTTATTCCCTAATTTATGAAATTCAAATTCTTCCCTGTGAAGCTTCATATCTGCCAGAAAGATTTTTCTCTGTGCACCCTGCTGATCTGTCGGGCTTTTTTTTTCTCTGCAGGAGTGAAGGGCAATGTGCAAGGCAACCTTTTCAAAATCATCACCAAAAATGACATTCATTATTACATCCAGGCCAGCTCCAAGGCCGAGCGAGTGCAGTGGATTGAGGCAATCAAACCACTGACATGAGTAATGTGGACTCCATGCCAAATGAGTCCACATTTCACAGCTGCTTTGATCACCTGATATAACTTCAGTTTATTTTTATATGTTCTAAAGAACTTAAAACCACATTTATGACCAACTTCCTGCTCTCGTTGTCCGGGAGTGTTGTTTTTCCCTGGATAGTCAATGTTCATTATTTGAATCACCATAACATCTACCAGGTCCTGGCAGACCATGCAGACCAAATCAAGTAGATCCAGAATAATACCCCACCTTGAATTTGTCATCTAACCAAGAGACCAAAACAGGTGGGTACAGACAAATGGGGCTTCATGAAGAAATGTCGAGATATTCCAAGATGGAAGAAAAGGATCTTTTGTACAAGTATTCAGTCTATGTCTGACAGATCCAGGTTGTGCTTTATCTTAAAGCAGAATTGTCTTGCTCCTTCCCCCTTTATAAAGGGGCTCATAAACTTAGCTAGTTAAGACTGAAACATCTAAGTCATGAAAGGTGCTGGTGTCTGAGGCTGCCTTTCTTGGCATATCACATGAATCTTGTGCTAAGCCACAACCCAGCTGCCAGGATAATATGCATTGCAAAACAAAACGGGTCTGTCTGTCCATCCATCTGCTCTACTATTTAGTTCTCTGTTAGAATGGAAAAGAACAAAGGATCTTGTTCCTAACCCATATAGATTACTCTTATGCTGGTAATGTTCCACATCAGAACAGGATCCTGAGTATCAAAGCAGACCAGTGGAAGTTCCAGACAATTTCTGGTAATGAATATATTGGAAGAAATCCCTCAGCCATAAAAGCAAGACTTTTCCTTCTGATAATTATCCTAAGTCCATTTATATTGGAGCACCATTTGGACAGAGAACTATAGTAGCAGTCCTCACTATTGCTTTTTCTATCTTAAGTCATTATTTTTTCCATTATTTGTCTACTAATCTTGTCTTTGATATCATTAAATATAAAAATATAAATATAAAAAAAAAAAAAAAACAGTGCATTTGAATATCCCGTGCTTTTTAGAGATGTGATTTTTCTCAGAGGGCAGTTTGAGTAAATAAAAAATAATGGTTAAGTACACTATAATTTTAGATTTCAATATAAACTGAGATGCCAAAGGGTAAAATGGAATGTAGGAAGTTCTTCAAACACCCACTCAGCTGCTGATACCCACTTTCATAAAATTTCTTGTTTTATCTGAGTACCTTTTTCTGACAGCCAGGTTTTTTTTAAAGCCTTCAAAAAGGCAGCATGCTCAATATCTTCCCTGAAGTCATAGAGGAATTTGATAACCCTCTATCCACAGATTCATTTCTGTACAGATGTTTTGGTCTCTGAGCTGTGTACGTAAAAGAAGTCCCATCATCACCAAAGCCAGAATATGCTAAATGTTTGTTTATTTATTAAAATAGCCATGTTTTTAGGATTTTCCTCAACAGTTACAGCAATGAAATAACAGCACAACACTTACATGCATTCAAATATTTAAGAGAGCTTGTAAAGAAGTTTGCTAGCAAAGGTGCAGTTTTAATTACATGCAAGAACAAGAATGGGCAGTGCAGTTTCAGCTGCAGATACCATTTCTTAGGGCTGGTTCAGAGAACACTGTGAAATCCACAGCTGTCAAAACCTTTCCATTCTGAAAAACCTGCCTGGAAGAGACAAGGTAAGGCAGGTAAGGTATTTATTGCTCTCTGCTGGAAGGCACAGATGTTTTGTGCTGACTGAGCAGAGCTTCCAGAAAAAGCAATCCCCTCCTGATAACGTGAGCCTTGCTGGGGCCCATCAGACACCCTAATTCATTTATAAGAAAATCTCCTGCTTCTCTTTTCTCAGACCCACCACCTGCATAATGCCCAGTTCTAGTCACACGGCTGGCTAACAACAGGCACCCACCTGGTGGGTGGACTGAGCTCTGCCACCTGGCATGCCTGAGGGGGTAAGGAGCCATAAGGATGTGAGATACTGCATAGCATCATAAATCTTGCAGTTTGGGAGGCCAGAAGTGTTTCTCAGCAAAGGCTTTGAGATTTATCTGGACCAGCCATAGCTCTGCAATTGCTGTGAGTCTGTATGGGGGAAAAAAAGTGTGTTTCTCAAACATATCAGCGAATTAAAAAGATACAGTTCCCACGCTCCAAAATCAGACAGGGGGAAACGATAAAACAGATCTGAGACAAGAGAAAGTACATTTTCCTTTGTCCTCTGGTGATATCCTGGTCTCCTTTTTTCAAGCCACTTTGGTAAGCTTGATGTCCCCTGAGATCCGCAAAGCTTTCACCAGGTTCAGAGGCTGAATGCGGTGAGTGAAGTCACAGAGCTGCCGTCCATCAACCAAGACTCGTATTTGCTGGTGTTCACATAAGAGCTCCATCTGCAGTGGAAAAGGATAGGGCAAGGCTGTTGGAGATCAGCAGCAGGGCTCATTTCAACAGCATGGACTTAGAACTAAATGTTACGGGAAACCACAAAGCAAAGCACAAAGTCTACCAGTTCTTCTGAAATGCCCCTAATAAATAACCTACCCTCTTCTGAGATGATACTGCAGAGCTCCAGTGGGTACTCTTAACTATGATTAGAGAAAGGGATGCCTCGTTCCCATCAGGGCTCAAACTGTTGCTGTCTGTGCTATACTAGACAGCAGGTTAACTGGACTAACTAGACTAGTTAACCTGGCAATGTCAGTGGCTGGCTGTTGGTGGTCATATACATAGCTTCTAGCTTTTCTCCCCTCCTTTTCTCTACACTATTCATAGTACCTGAAAAATTACCTTGAACGTGTCACCTGCTGTAAATGGAAAGTAGGGAATAGTCTTCTCTTCTCTTCCCCATTTCCCAGCAATTCGTGCATTTCGGGTGATGGATTTCTCACTGAAGTTAACTGTAAATAACAGCCCAACATCTTTGTTGGCATCCACTGGATCACAGAGCAGAGTCACTGAAAAGCTGAAAAAAGATCTATTAAGTGACTGGAACTTTCAGAAATGTGAAAGGACATGGTGAACATGGCAGATGCTTATAGAGACTAGAGACAGCTGTTGGTTCCATGTCAGACTGAAACACAGGACTTCTACAGGCTTAGAAGCTGGAGAAAGGGAAGAGACCTGGCTGGGCTTTGTTTCCTGCCCCAGTGTCCAGTAGAATGCTAGTGATATCTAATGTTGCTCTCCCTCTGTCTTGCCTGAAATCAAACCCTTCAAAATGTACTCATTTGTGTCCTAAAAAAGGTTATGGCATACTCTTCACCAGTGGAACCAGTGGAGCTGATAGCTGTAGATGCAAAAACTTTGTAATGACGAGCACAGTTGCTGTTATCCAGATAAAAGACAACAATGAACCTTCACCTCCTGTGCCAAAACTGGTTTTTAAATGGTGTTGATTCTAACCCCCCACAGACAACCAAGATTCAGGTTGAGAATTGCACCTCTTCCTGAAATAGAAATGCCACTTGTGTGTTCCCTCCAGTTCACATTAGATAAGGGCAAGGAGTAGAAAATCTTGTCAGGGCAGTCAGAAAGGCCGAACAGTGAATTCCTCCCTGACCTTTTAATCTTAGTCTGAGTGCAGAAAAATTAAGTAAAGCCATAAATTTTTAATCTGTTTGACCTTCTTCCATCAAAGAGCACATACTTCCAAGAAAGTGTCTGAATTCAGAAGACAGGTAGGAGCATGTATAACAGGGTGAAGCCCCCAGCAGTCCCTTCACCTACCTCTTGGGTTTGGAGTGTACCATGCCTATGACTGTGAGTTTCATGGTTGGTCTCAGGCCACCTTTAATTTCACCAACATACTGCTCCACCTGCAGGGAACAGTGAAAATGGTTTCAGTGGGTCATGCTGTGGGTAAACCAGCTTTAACAGCTGGTTTGATCACCTGATATAACTTGGGCATATTTTTATATGTTCTAAAGAACTTAAAAGTATTTCCAGCTCAAAGTACTTCTTGCACTCTGATGACACAATAGATCTGGTAACAGCACTCCAGTTGCTCTGGTCACAGCAGATGAGAAGCTTTGTGGCAGCATAATGTGTGGTGCAGACTCTGCTTGAACCTACTCTGTCCTGCCACGTCAAATTTGCTACCAGATTTTGGTGGGCTAACTTGGCACCATCAGGCCTTACACACCAGGCCAGGCAGGCTCTGTCCTCCACTGTAAAAGCAGCATAGATGCTGCCCTGCCACTGCATGGTGACCACATCCTCACAGGCAATCCCAGTCCTTTTGTGACAGTGACTTTGAAAAGTCACACTTTTCCAGAGGCAATGAATGGCTTCTTCATGGATCTGCTTTTGTCCTGTTCACAGAGACCTGTAGTTGCAAGCTGCACCCAAAGATCTGAGCTACTTTTGCTTTTTCCAAGGAATTCTCTAACAGCTTTGATGGTCAGTGGAGGAACTAATACAGGCCAGAGCTGACATGGAAATATTAAAGAGAGAGACCTTGGAAACAACTGATAGGGATGTTTTGAGGCTTCATCTTCAGAAACGGCTTTAAAATGTAAATTTTAGAATACTACAGCATGTAATCACTCCCTCTGCAGATTCACTTAGAAAGAAGCTGCTGTAAAACACTCAATGTTATTAGCACTTGCGTAACACTGATAATATTCCAAGGCAAGGCACAACAGACCCTGTCTGAGATAAAAAGAGCTTTATCGTTCCAGTGTTCCAAGGTAAAAATTCAGACAGTTTTGCTAGAAAACCTGCACAATATATGCACACAAATTCAAGATAAAAAATGTTTTTCCTGTACCTCATTTCCTAATTTTACTGTACTAGTTGTGTCTTCTGCTAAGATGACTTTATACAATTTATTTTCCCACTCAGGTATTCCCATCCAGCTACCTTTATATTATATATGTATAAAATATACAGATATATTAATAAACCTCTAATTCCTAACAAGGTCAATATTGGAAGAATAATTTTAAAATTTACCTTCGAAAATGACAGCAGTACTACTAATTGTTAATGATGTAAATTTACTCTTGCAGGAGTGCACAGGTGACTCCAGCAAGTATGTTTTGAACTTTTTAACAAAAGAAATGCATCAAGGACTTGATATGTCTTACATAAGGAAACTGCTCGTCAAGTAAAGAATCTAACTGTAGGGTGATACTTTAAACTGGATAAGGCAATTAGAAAGCAGGTAATAAGCATAAAAGATCTCAGGATAAATGAAGTTCATGCTCATAGAGGTCTCATGTCCCACTAAAGCTTCTTCCTTGCCTAGAGACAAGATACAAAATACCACCCCAAATTGAACGTGCACATTGAGAAATTGTTTATGCAGAGGTGCACTGTAACAAGTGCCATCACTAAAGGCACAGGGTATCAGAACTGAATAGCATGGATGACGACTACATGGTCTCAAGAGTCACAGCTCATCCAGCGTGGCTGGAGAAAATTCGGAGGCATGACTGCCCACACACCATTTATGTGTGGACACCTAGATAACCTAGTTACAGGTGAGAAATACTTAGGAAGATGTAGGAAGTAATGGTAGAAACTCCTGCAAGCTTCTTGCAGAGTTTATGGGTGGGTCCCAGCATATGCACATGGGCACAGCTCCCATCCCGTATTTTCCATTCAGGATCCCTGGGGACTGACTCGGTCACTTACTTTGGCACACCTCTCCTCTGTCATCACCGCTCTCCCTCTTACACTTGCCTCGCCGCTGCAGTCCCCCGGAGCAGTTTTTGTTTTGTGTGTCAGGACAAAAGCAAACAAAAAGCCCGGAATAAAGGGAGGATGTTGAGGGGGGGTCTTATCTCCGCCAAACACTGGCCGGACACCACCCAGCCCGGCAGCTGAGTCACTCCCCTGCGCCTGGCCCCGTGTGGGGGAGGCTGGCGGCGAGCGCGGCGCGAGGGCAGGGCTGGCCCGGGCCCCGCACGGGAGCGCTGGAGCCGCGCCTGCACGTGCGACACAGGGACCGGGAACACCCGTGCGTGAGGGTGCACAGCCCACTCGTAGGACACCCGGTGTGCACACGCGTGCTTGTATGTGTCATACGGACAAACCCCACGTCATTTATTTCTTGATACCAACTCTCTCCTCTCTCAAATTCATAACTACATATATATGTATATACACACACAATTTACAGCCTCGTATATACACCTACATATAGGTTTGTACACCCTATATATATATATACACACCTATATATACTGTATACACTGTAGATGCGTGTATATATGCATAGGGGTGTATCTATATATGTATGTATGTATGTACATGTGTACCAGAGTGAGCTATATGTACAGGGTCGTACAGCTATACAGGGGGTACCTATACTCCCCCACACACCTGTACGCGCACCTCTGCGGCCGTTGGTGGGTGTATTTACGCGCACACCCGCACACACAGCCCGCCGCCTCCGCCGCCCTCCGCCCCCTCACGGCCCCCGCGTCCGCGCAGAGGCGGGGCTTCGAGCGAGAGCCAATCAGAGCCCCGCAAGGCGCGAACAAGGGGCGGGGCCAGCACGTGGGGGCGGGGACTGGGCGTGGTTAGTGGGGGCGGGGCTTGCGCTGCCCGGGCTTAGGCGGCGGCGTCAGGCACCCCAAACAAACATGGCGGTTTATTTACATTCCGCCCCGGCTCGGCCAATGGGCGGGCGCTTTGCCCGCGTGCCCGGCCGGCGGCGCGGTCAGCTGAGGAGGCGCCCAAGATGGCGGCGAGGTGGGGCGGCGGTGCCGGGGCGGTGCCGTAGAGCGCAGCGCCCCGCCAGGGAGGGCGGCATCGCCCTCGTGTGTGTCACCCCGTCCCGGGTCATCCAGTCGTCCCGGGAAGATGCATTCTTTCGGGAATGAAGAAGCGGACTCTCTGGAGCGTCTTTTCGGGTTTTTCTGTGAGTGCGTACGGCGTGGGCACTGGGAGCTTGCACAGGCCTGCGTGCCCCAGCTGAGCCGCTGGCACGGGGACGGCCCCGGGAAGGTGGAGGCAATTCTTCAGGCTCTGGTAGCTTGTCCCGTGGGGGTAAGGTGAGTAAAGTACTGCTCTGATTCCGTAGACTTGAATGTGAAATGGGGAGGAGCAGTTGGCTTAGTGTTGGCTGTGGGAGACAGGTAGAATCAGGGAAGCAGCGCTTCAGTGCTGAGGTGTCTTGTGATGCTGTTGTCTGAACTTTGATGTCTTATCACTGACCAAGGACTTAGCAGGCTGCCCATCCCACCGGGATAACGAGTTGTGTTCATTTACGAAGCTGACAATGGTGATTGATACAAACTTAAAACGACTTTGAAGCATTTCAGAACTGATTTTGTTAGATTTTACCGCGGGAAAAGGACCATCTCTTGAAATTACATTTCTTTGGCACTGAGTTTTGGTTCGTTTAGAAATGGAAGCACGAAAATCACCGGCGTAGTTATTTAAAATGTTATCTTGTTTCCAACTCTTGAAAAGTCTCCTCATTTTTAATACTGCAATTCTAAGAAGTTCAAATTATGCTGTTTATTTTTTTCTCTCACACGGTATTTTGGAATGGCGTCAGTTTTACTCAGTCCCAGTTACTATTTATTTCTTACTTTTTATTTTTTCAGTTAGGTGTATATGAAGGGTGACTTTCTAGCACTTCAGGGAACATTCCCCCTGTCTAATCAGATGATGATACTTCTTCACATTAAAGTTTTTGTGACATTTCAGTAAAGGTTCTGAGAAACAATTTGCACTGACAGCAGCTGAAGGAGTCTGGAGGAAGGTGGGCTCATGGTTAGATGAATATTGCTAACAGCCACGTGAGACATAACAGTTTTCAATCTTTTGATCTTTAATAGCTGGGCTATCACATTTAAAGGCTGTAGTTGTAGTGCTGAGATTTTTAAAGGACAGGAAACAATACTGTGCTTTCTCCTTTTCCTGGTCCCTTTGACAGTGCTGAATATGTTCCCAGCTGTGTAGGCTTTGGGATGTTGGAGTGGATGGAGGATGTGAAATGCTGATGGAAATTAGAAGGACTCTTTGTTTAATTACTGTTTAATTAGTACATTGTTTCACTTTTAATTTGGATATAGAGCTGCATTTGGGTGCTGTGACCTAAAACTTTGCTTTTGTTGGGTATATTTTGGGTAGAAATAGGCAGAACAGGAAATAGCAGTGTTTGGCAAGTGGTCACATTTCAACAAAATCTGCTGAAGTGCTCAAAGAGAGCTGTACAGACTGAACTTTGGACCAGAAGTAGATTTCTTTGTTTTGAGGAGCTATGCCAGTAGTATTTGGCCTATCTAAAAGCAGTTATTTGCACAGCAGAAGTCACTGAGTTGATGTGCAAGAACACCAATATTCTGGTTTCTCTGCATTTTTTTCCTTTGCCTTTGGCTACTTACTTGCCTTTGTTTTTATCTTACTCAAAGAATGCAAAATCAAAATTATCTCTGACAGTGTTTTCCTGGATCTTGGATATGGAGACACTCTTGTATAATCCACTGTATATGCTCCTTGCTTTTGTAGGCGGGGACAGAATTCTAGCCCATCAAGAACTGCATGGCTTTGGCTTCTTGTGCTGAAAAAATGGCTTGCCATGAATCAGGTACAGAAACATCTTGATGATTTCCAAATGCACCTTATAGTTCTGACTTCCAGCTGCAGAATGTCTCCCTAGTTGCTTATTTAAATGTAGGCTTCCCCAAGTTCTCAAGGTATCTGGAGACATGCACTGCTTTTGCAATTAACAAATTTACCAAAAAAGAACTGTAATATTCACACTGAAGAGAAAAACTAATTTTTTTTAAAAAGATATTTGAAGTTAACATTTTAGCTTTTCACACTCATATAAATGAAAATCTGGAGTGTAACAACTTCTGCATTTGTGCAGCACCTCTCTTACATTAAAGATTAAATAGCTCAGGCATCAGACAATTGTTTATAACATTTAGATGGTGAGTGATGTGCATACTTCTTTTTAAAAATGATTTGTCCTTGGCACTATGTAGACTTGCATTTTTTCTTTCCATTCTGAGGAATTGATGATTTTGTGATTCTTGATGAGGTCTGTTTCCAAATGTATGGATAAATAAAATCAGCTGGTGTGAGAGCAGAACCTGACTGGAATAGCCTTTAGTTGAGGATTAGGTTACTTCAGAGAGATATGTCAGTCTGCCTCGAAGTGTTAATGAAATAGCTATGATTATGTTTATATGCTGATGTAAATAAAAGTTTCATTGACTAATATATTGACTAATATATTTCCCATTCTTACATGGTTTCAGAAAACTGTTCCAGTTGCTCTTCAGAGAGAAACTGAATTCTTACTGTTCTTGGAAGAACTACAGAAAGATGTCTCTGAGGAAGTCCTAAAGGTGAGCTGCTTCTGTGCCCTGTTGCTTCTTGTTCTGCAGTATGCCCAACTTCATCAGATCGAAGTTAATGCTTCCTGCCAGCTGCCTGAGATGTTAATGTGTTATTAATCTTCTAGGCAACTGAGAGAGAGTGTAATTGAGATTCCTTTGTGAAGTTAATCTGTGCCTGCAAGTGATTTCTGTGGCTGCAGTGGAGGCTGCAGGCAGGCAAGGAACAGGTTTTTCTTCGTGCCGTTTTTAACACACGTCAGTCCTGACTGCAGCTGCTTGCCACAGCCTTCAATGCATAGACACCTGTAATAATCATAAACCTACAACCCACTGTGAGCCAAAACAGACTGTAGTCAGTAAGCACATTTTAGAAGTATGTGTATTTTCTTTTTCTTTCTTCGGAGATCTTAATTTTCATCTCCTATGCATCCCTTTTCTCCCTTTCTGGAAGTTTTTGGATACTCTACTGTTACTGCTGACATTGCTTAGATGTTGGTGTGGCGTGAGTTCTGAGGTCCAGGATCCATTTTCTATTATTAATTAAAAGATGCAGGCTGATTTGTTTGAGAAGTAAGAGAAAATGTGCAAAGATGGATTTATATAAGCAAGTATAGAGCAGAATATCAGCAAAGTTTCTATCCGTAGAATTGTCAAAATTTGATGTTAGTTACAACAGATTCAGATCTGACATGGTGTGTGAAATGTCATAAGATGTTGCATCTAGTCCTACAGATTCTAACTCCTTAAAGATACTCTTTTTTGGTTTGTCTATATTTTAAGAGGAAAATGAAAACTTACTATATTCATGGGCTAGCTTAGGAAAAGTTGTTCAGTATTTCACTAAGGATACAGAATTAGCAATTACAGGATGAAAACAAACAAAGTAAACTTGAATGTTGATTAAAATAATCTTCTTGAAGTCTGTTAATGAGTAAAGAAGTCTGTGCATGTTACTGTCTCACCGCCGAGGTCATGAATGATTCCACCGTTGTCCACACTGTCCACCAGTGTTGCACAGAAACATGAGATTCAACAATCTCATATCTTTGTCACAGTTTCTGTCAGAGGCATGTTGGTAGGTAGAGTTACATTTTGATCCAGCAAATAATAATGAAAAAAAGGTATTGTGGTCTTGCTTTCTGTTCTCATTCTTTGTGCACACCAACCACCTCACCCTTTTTAATCTCTGAGGTGTTTCTTTGGGCCAAAGGCAGCACTCACATAATTCCAGGAGTGCCAAAAGTGCTGCTTGAGTGCTTTTCAACTGGCTTGTCCCTCACCTTCCCAACTCTTACTGCGTGGGTTAATTGGGATTTTTTGTTTGTTTGTGTTCCCCTTCCCAGTTCTGAAAATGTAGGTTTTCTTCTGATAGGTAGAAAAATTATTGCTGCTTAAGAAAAGTCTGTGCGATTGCTTCTGAATCTGTTGACCGGTTTTAATCAGATTTTAAGAATTGATGAGGATGATATAGTTGGTGATAGATGGTATAAATATGAAAAAGTAGGATGAAAAAAAAACCCCACACATCACTGTGCTGTTAGAGACCTATCAAGATAC